ATCATAGTGGTCCAATAGTTGTGAGAGGCAGGAGCGACCTGCTCTGAAACCATGTTGCCCAGGGTTGTGCAATTTTTGGGAGTCCAGGTGGTTTGCTATCCTGATATGGGATGTTAAAGCTATTGGTCTATAGTTCTTAGCTAATGCTTTGCTGCCACCTTTATGGAGTGGGGCTATATCCATTGTTATTAGTGACTGTGGAATCTCGCCTATATCTAAGCTCCTTCTCCATAGCATACTTAGGGCCCATGAGAGCCCTAAGTTCTTAATGAACACAGAGTTCCACGAGTCTGGGCCTGGGGCTGAGTGCATGGGCATGTCATCAATGGGTTATGTTTAGGGTTATGTAAGAAATTTGGCATACATTGGCAGGGTTTTGAGGCTCATTCATGAAAAAATTGTTTGGATTGTCTGTCTTTAGACTGATCAATGACTCGCTGAGCACAGAGTCATATTTAGATTTTAGTATCTCGCTCATGTCTTTGTTGTCGTCTGTTAGGATCCGTCTTGCCTGAGCAGAGACCCTCTACTAGAAGTGGTTTTTGCCTTGTTTTTGGCATATGAAAAGAAATATCTCAAATTTCTTTCAATTTCACTAATCGTTTTTAGGTCCTCTTGTCTCTCCTTGATCCTGTGTGAGTCCTTTAACTTTAGCTCAATATTTTCCACTTTCCTGGTTAGTACTTCCTTCCATGTTTCAGATAATCTAGTATTCTTGAGGAGCTCAATGATTCTTTGTCTTCTCCTGTAGAGGGAGCATCTCTCTCTCTCTCTCTCTCTCTCTCTCTCTCCAGTATACAGTGGACCCCCGGTTTACGATATTATTTCATTCTAGAAGTATGTTCAGGTGCCAGTACTGACTGAATTTGTTCCCATAAGGAATATTGTGAATTAGATTAGTCCATTTCAGACCCCCAAACATACACATACAAACGCACTTACATAAATACACTTACATAATTGGTCGCATTGGGAGCTGATCGTAAACCGGGGGTCCACTGTACTTCTTTTCTTTTTTTCCTAGAGGAATATACCTTGAACATACTTCAGCTACCAGGAGGTTGATCTTTTCAAGGCATTGGTTTGGGTCCATGTAATTTAAGATATCTTTCCAACATGTTTCATTTAGGGTCATAGTTTACCTGATCCCAGATGATGTTCTTGTTGTTAAAGTTGAATTTGGTAAAGGTACCCTCATAGCTGTATGAAGTTGAATTTGGTAAAGGTACCCTCATAGCTGTATGCATTTTGCTGATCAGGACTCCTGTGCATGCAAGTCTGGACTTCAATTAGATTGTGATCAGAATTTGTTGTTTTTGATATTGTTATGTTTCTTACCAGGTCCTAATTATTTGTGAAAATAAGGTCTAGTGTGTTCTCCTGTCTTGTTGGCTCCACTATCTGCTGACTTAGGGTGTGTTTGTTGCAGAAATTCAGCAGCTCCTGTATGTGTGACTTTTCTTCTGAGCTACCTCCAGGGATTATTTCTGCTACATTATTTGCTATATTCTTCCATTTTGTATGTCTTAGATTGAAGTCAGCAAGCAGCAAGATGTTTGGGGATGGGGCTGGAAAGTTATCCAGACAGGAGTCAATTTTTGATAGTTGTTCTTTGAACTGTTGGGAAGTTGCATCTGGTGGCTTATATACAAGTACATTGACTAAGTTTTGGTTCTCGATTTTTATTGTCAGAACTTCAACTACATCATTTGTGGTGTTCAGTATCTCTGTGCAAATGAGCGACTCTTTGACGTACAGGCCAACCCCCCCTTGTTGCCTGTTCTTTCTGTCGCATCTGAAAAGGTTGTATCCAGGTATCCATATTTCACTGTCAAAGTAATCGTTTGCATGGGTCTCTGTGAAGGCTGCAAACAGTGCATTTGACTCCCCTAGAAGTCCACTAATGAGAGGCATTTTGTTGGTGGTGGATGGTTTAAGGTCCTGTATATTAGCAAATATAAATGAGGTCGTGTTGCATGTTTGTTGGGGGGATTTTGTTGTTGGCATCAGTAGTTGTGAGCCCGGAGGTGCCACTGGTTGTGCCTCCAATCCAACAAGGCTCCAAGGTGGTGGACTATTTTGGTCATCTCTTTCCATTTTCTTTCTTCATTTTTTTTTTATTTTTATTTTTTATCACACTGGCCTATTCCCACCAAGGCAGGGTGACCCGAAAAAGAAAAACTTTCACCATCATTCACTCCATCACTGTCTTGCCAGAAGGGTGCTTTACACTAGTTTTTAAACTGCAACATTAACACCCCTCCTTCAGAGTGCAGGCACTGTACTTCCCATCTCCAGGACTCAAGTCCGGCCTGCCGGATTCCCTGAACCCCTTCATAAATGTTACTTTGCTCACACTCCAACAGCACGTCAAGTATTAAAAACCATTTGTCTCCATACACTCCTATCAAACATGCTCACGCATGCCTGCTGGAAGTCCAAGCCCCTCACACACAAAACCTCCTTTACCCCCTCCCTCCAACCTTTTCTAGGCCAACTCCTACCCCGCCTTCCTTCCACTACAGACTGATACACTCTTGAAGTCATTCTGTTTCGCTCCATTCTCTCTACATGTCTGAACCACCTCAACAACCCTTCCTCAGCCCTCTGGACAACAGTTTTGGTAATCCCGCACCTCCTCCTAACTTCCAAACTACGAATTCTCTGCATTATATTCACACCACACATTGCCCTCAGACATGACATCTCCACTGCCTCCAGCCTTCTCCTCGCTGCAACATTCATCATCCATGCTTCACACCCATATAAGAGCGTTGGTAAAACTATACTCTCATACATTCCCCTCTTTGCCTCCAAGGACAAAGTTCTTTGTCTCCACAGACTCCTAAGTGCACCACTAACCCTTTTCCCCTCATCAATTCTATGATTCACCTCATCTTTCATAGACCCATCCGCTGACATGTCTACTCCCAAATATCTGAATACATTCACCTCCTCCATACTCTCTCCCTCCAATCTGATATCCAATCTTTCATCACCTAATCTTTTTGTTATCCTCATAACCTTACTCTTTCCTGTATTCACTTTTAATTTTCTTCTTTTGCATACCCTACCAAATTCATCCACCAGCCTCTGCAACTTCTCTTCAGAATCTCCCAAGAGCACAGTGTCATCAGCAAAGAGCAACTGTGACAACTCACACTTTATGAGTGATTCTTTATCTTTTAACTCCACGCCTCTTGCCAAGACCCTCGCATTTACTTCTCTTACTACCCCATCTGTAAATATATTAAACAACCACGGAGACATCATACATCCTTGTCTAAGGCCTACTTTTACTGGGAAATAATTTCCCTCTTTCCTACATACTCTTAACTTGAGCCTCACTATCCTCGTAAAAACTCTTTACTGCTTTCAGTAACCTACCTCCTACACCATAAACCTGCAACATCTGCCACATTGCCCCCCTATCCACCCTGTCATACGCCTTTTCCAAATCCATAAATGCCACAAAGACCTCTTTAGCCTTATCTAAATACTGTTGACTTATATGTTTCACTGTAAACACCTGGTCCACACACCCCCTACCTTTCCTAAAGCCTCCTTGTTCATCTGCTATCCTATTCTCCATCTTACTCTTAATTCTTTCAATAATAACTCTACCATACACTTTACCAGGTATACTCAACAAACTTATCCCCCTATAATTTTTGCACTCTCTTTTGTCCCCTTTGCCTTTATACAAAGGAACTATGCATGCTCTCTGCCAATCCCTAGGTACCTTACCCTCTACCATACATTTATTAAATAATTGCACCAACCACTCCAAAACTATATCCCCACCTGCTTTTAACATTTCTATCTTTATCCCATCAATCCTGGCTGCCTTACCCCCTTTCATTTTACCTACTGCCTCACGAACTTCCCCCACACTCACAACTGGCTCTTCCTCACTCCTACAAGATGTTATTCCTCCTTGCCCTATACACTATCCAGGTAAACTCCAGGTAAACACGAAATCACAGCTTCCCTATCTTCATCAACATTTAACAATTCCTCAAAATATTCCCTCCATCTTCCCAATACCTCTAACTCTCCATTTAATAACTCTCCTCTCCTATTTTTAACTGACAAATCCATTTGTTCTCTAGGCTTTCTTAACTTGTTAATCTCACTCCAAAACTTTTTCTTATTTTCAACAAAATTTGTTGATAACATCTCACCCACTCTCATCTCTCACCTCACTTGGTGTTGTCATAGCTACCATAGCTACTATGATTTGTTGTACAGGGTGTGTGCTTCCTGGTCCCTTTTAAATGGTATGCAGTGCAGTTGGTATTGTAACATTGTTTTTGAAGGACTGAAGACTGACACATCTCAGGGCGGAAGAATTTGCAAGAGGTAGAACGCCACACTCCTTTAGACAGGAGGTCGCGGCATTTTTTGGGATGCTCAAAGTTGCATGCCCCATTCATTTTCCCTGATATTCCATGTTTACAGATGCCCCAAGCATAGAATTTACACCATTTTGTTTTTGGCTGGATACAATTCGTACTGGATGTATTTCTAATCTGTGCAGACCCTAGAACTGCACTATTGTCCTCCATAGCCAAACCAGAGACACCACCATCAGTTGTCATGATGATAAATTAGACACACGTGCAATTCTTGGGTATCTTATTTGAGGAAACGTTTCGCCACACAGTGGCTTCATCAGTCCATACAAAGGAGAATGGTGAAGAACAGGAGGAGAATGAGGTAATCAGTCCCTCAACCTTGAGCCGATGTGGTCAGTCCATCAATCTATTCAAGATTGATGGACTGACCACATCGACTCAAGGTTGAGGGACTGATTACCTCATTCTCCTCCTGTTCTTCAAGATTCTCCTTTGTATGGACTGATGAAGCCACTGTGTGGCAAAACGTTTCCTCAATAAAGATACCCAAGAGTTGCACATGTGTCTAATTTATCAACATGTAGGTTCTCTGAACCATTCATCTACAAAGTTGTCATGATGCTAGCATTTCCCCTGGAATAGGACTCCTCTACTAAATCTGTACTAGAGGCTATGACTGTGACGGCTGCAGAAGGGTCTACCCCAGAAGAGGACTCCTCTACTACATCTGTACTAGGGGCTATGACTGTGATGGCTGCAGAAGGGTCTACCCCAGAAGAGGACTCTTCTACTACATCTGTACTAGGGGCTATGGCTTTGGTGGCTGTGGAGGAGTCTTTATCCGAATCCAGATTTTCACAATGGCTGGGGGCTGGGTCTGGGTCAGCCCTGGGGCTGGGGACTGAACTAGCTGTTGTTTTCTTTCCTATGTTTTTTCCAGTGGGTATCTGCTTATTTTTGGGTCACTTGTTGTAGACTGGCATTCTGTATGTTAGACTCCTATCTTCCCATGCTCTATATATTCCAGGCAGATACAGCATCTTGTGGGCTGAAGCTAGGCCTAAGGCTTGCAAGATGGCAGCCCTGAGGTGACACAAAATCTCAGCCCCAATGGGGTATACATTGCTCGGCCACTTACCCACAGTCGTCCTCAACCATGTAAAATGTCTGAAAAAACTAAGTCTCTCTTGCAGAAACTGGGCACAGACATAAAATAAAACATATATACATATAGACATGGACAAAAAAAAAAAAAGAAATTCCTATAGGGAGGAAAAAAAAAGAAAATGTGGTGTGGTAAAACATGGTGGTCCAAGGCCTCAGAGGCATCACTGCACACCTTCCTGTGCACCTACCATCCGACTTACGACTGAGTTCGGCTCCAAGAAACCGGTCGTAAGTCGAAATGGTCGTAAGTCGAACTTTACTACTGAATATCAACAAAACATTTTTGTAATGACTTTATTTTATTGTTTTATTTTGGTATTTCATGTTTTACTTTACTTTTTATGCTGTTAGTACTGTATTTTATACTGTAAGGTTTAGGATAAACACTGTGTGCAACACAAATACTTGTTTATTTCCCAGAAATTTGGCATAAAAAATACGGTCGTAAGTCGAGTGGTCGTAAGTCGAGCAGGTCGTAAGTCGGATGGTAGGTGTATTTAGACAGATGGCACAACATATCAGGAGACATTGCTGTGATGTATCTGGGAACGGTGAAGCAGTCATCATGGAGTAGTCACTGCAGGGTTTACTCAGCCTGGGCCACAACATGTTGGTGCCCTCGAGTGAGGCGTCGTCAGTATTCATTATCTGGGTGGACTTGTTCTGGCGTGAGACTCGGGAGGACACTTTTTGGCTGGTACTATCACATTCCAGGCAGTCACTGCCTGGAACTCAGTGTAGCACAGCTTGGTGCGGGCAATTGTGAGTCATAGCATGAATGACTCAGGCGTATCAGCCGTCGTAGCAGGGACGACTTTGACGTGACGTCTACAAAAGCAGTGACCATAAATACTGTCTATACACAGGGCTCAGATGACATGCGTAATCTGATGCCTGGACTGACTAGTATCAGTTGACAAATGTCACATACGGATGACATGTAAGACAAGGGTGATAAATTGGTCTGGGCTCAGACCACAAATGGGAACTCATAGAAAACTTGCATACCTGTACTGCGCATACGGTAATATTTCGACTACGTGGCTTGCACTAGCAAATGATGCTTTTCTGTACAAAAATCGACACAGGCATTCACAAACATGTGAGAACACTAGTAATGGAGCACTGACTGAGAGGAATTAAACGTGACATTATGCTACTGAACACTATAAAACTACAAATTCACACTGTCAGTGGGACATCATGGGGTGACGTCAGGCATGACCTGAGCGATATCATGGTGTGACAATGCTAGGTGACGTGTACCTGGAGGGTATTCTGGGAATCAAAGCCTCCACAACCAGGCCTCCCAGTGGATCATGGCCTGATCAACCAGGCTGTTACTGTTGGCCTCAGTCCAACATACGAACCACAGTCTGGCTGATCTGGTACCGACTTTAGTCTTTGTTCAGCTCCCTCTTGAAGGCAGCCAAGGGCCTATTGGTAATTCCTCATATGCATAGTGGGAGGCTGTTGAACAGTCTTGCGCCCCAGACATTTATGGTGATTTCTCTTAGTGTACCAATGGCGCCCCTACTTTTCATAGGGAATAATTTCTGTGTATAGATTTGGGACCATTCCTTCTAAGATTTTCCAAGTGTAGATTATGATATACAGTGGAACCTCGACTTACGAGTGTCCCAAACAATAATACGAGTTTTTCAAGATACGAGCCATTGCCCAGTTGATTTTTTGCTCTGAGTTACAAGCGAGCTTCCCCCTCAACCCACAGCCCGCACACCTCACTTGTTTATCTGTGATTTCATGATTTAATTCCATGGAAATCATCCTCTTTTTCTTCTCAACACTGTCCTAGGCACTTAACCCTTTCAGGGTCCGTTCTGTAGATCTACGGCTTTACATTGAGGGTCCAAACTGTAGATCTACACCATGAGCTCAGCTCATTCTGATAAGTTGTGAGCAGTAAATTTGGGCCTAGTTATGAGAGAACACATCTATGTGGTATGTGTGCTCCACATAAAACAAATCCTGCAGCACACAGTGCATAATGAGAGAAAAAAAACTGAGACCATAATTTTCGATTAAAACAGCGACTTTGCAGTGTTTTTTCGTGTGTTTTTTATAGTTGTATTTGCGATTTCTTGGTCTCATTTGATAGAATGGAAGATATATTACAGAAATAGAGATGATTTTGATTAGTTTTAGTACTGGAAATGGCTTGAAACTGAGCTCAAAGTAGCGGAAATGTTAAATGTTTGTCGATGTTCAAGAGTAAACAAATGACCTCACACGTCTAATACACGCCAGGTGGTGGGTCTAATTTATGTTCACAAATGTGCTGATATTATTTATACAATTATTACAATATTGCATAACAGTAAATCTTTTATTTTTTGGTTTGAATAAAAATTCATTATGTGAATTAAAAATCAAAATGGAATTCATTTGTAAAGCCTCAAAATATAACTAATGAACAGAGGAAATGTTAGTTTAGTGCCAGGAATACCTACATTGTTTATTCTGGATCCTATTTTGAAATTGGAGTACAGTGGACCCCCGCATAACGATGGCATCACATAGCGATTATTTCGTCAATACCGCTTACTTTAATCGCAAAAATTTGCCTCACATAACCGCTGTAAAACCCGCTTACCGATTTTCGTTCCGAGACGCGCCTGAGCCCCTCACAATGTTTTCCGCCGGTGGCATTGTTTACCAGCCAGCCTCCGCGGTAACATCCAAGCATACACGGAATATTTCGTATTATTACAGTGTTTTCGTGCTTTTTCTGGAAAATAAGTGACCATGGGCCCTAGTATAGCTTTCTAGTGCCAACCCTACAGAATAAGGGTGAGAATTAACAAATAGATGAAGAAAAAGATCATTGATAATATGAAAGTGGAGTGCATGTCTCCGAGCTGGCCAGGTTGTTATAATAAACCCCAATCAACCATCGCTACTATTGGTGGTACAGCTGCTGCTGATACTGCTGCACTGTACAGCTGCTGCGCTGCTGTAGCACCGTTGTTGGTGTGGCTTATTGAGATACCAAGAAACAATTAACCCAGAGGATTTGCCACCCAGGATAACCCAAAAAGTCAGTGTCATCGAAGACTGTCTAACTTATTTCCATTGGGGTCCTTAATCTTGTCTCCCAGGATGCAACCCACACAAGTCGACTAACACCCAGGTGAACAGGGGAAAAAAGCCTGGAACTAGTGCTCATATTGGTGAATTTAAAGCCAGCAAAGGTTGGTTTGAGAGATTTAAGAATCGTAGTGGCATACACAGTGTGATAAGGCCTGTTCTGGAAGAAAATGCCAAACAGGACCTACAGTACTCAGGAGGAAAAGGCACTCCCCAGGACACAGTGTCTCATCAGTCATTGCTGCATCTTCAATAAAGGTAAGTGTCATTTATTCTTCATTTAGTAGACTAGTACATGCACAATATATACTGTGCATGTACTACTCTACTATTGTGCATGTATCCTTCTCTTTGTGTGTGGGAAAATGTATATTTCATGTGGTAAAATTTTTTTTTTCATACTTTTGGGTGTCTTGCACGGATTAATTTGATTTCCATTATTTCTTATGGGGAAAATTCATTCACATAGCGATTATTTCGCATAACAATTACCCCTCTTGCACGGATTAAAATCGTTAACCGGGGGTCCACTGTATTTTGAACTTTGCATTAAATTGGCCGAATTGCCAATTTCTGATCACTTTATTTTGTAGTTGAAGCAGTTGGTGATTTCTTGTGCTCAATTGATAGAATAGAAGTAATACAGTGGACCCCCGCATAACGATCACCTCTGAATGCGACCAATTATGTAAGTGTATTTATGTAAGTGCGTTTGTATGTGTATGTTTGGGGGTCTGAAATGGACTAATCTACTTCACAATATTTCTTATGGGAACAAATTCGGTCAGTACTGGCACCTGAACATACTTCTGGAGTGAAAAAATATCGTTAACCGGGGGTCCACTGTACTAGTGAAATAGCTAAGAATTTGATCGACTGGAATAAGGTAATTGGCCTAAAATGGCAGTCAAAGTCGGCAAAATCGCCGCTGCGTAAATATCGCTGACACATCAAAATTCACGAGAGCATAATTTCGTCAATTTTCCATCAAATTTCGTATTTTTTGTTTTATTAGCTTCAGAAAAATGAAATTTGGCCAATTAACTGTAAAAATGCAAGCAAAGCACGACCACAGTGAAGTAAACAGTGTGCTGTGCCAACTAGTGGTGGTGTTCTGAAGCTTATTATTATTATTATTATTATTATTATTATCATTATTATTATTATTATTATTTATTATTATTATTATTATTATTATTATTATTATTATTATTATTATTATTATTATTATTATTATCATTATTATTATTATTATTATTTTTATAATACTGTTATTATTAATTTAGGGAACTGGAGCACAGATCCAATTCCTGAAATGAAGAGCCCCTAAATCAAGGAACCTTGATACCAGTGAGGGGCTCTTGATCTATGGAATTGGATCTGTGCTCCAGTTCCCTAAATCAATAATAATAATAATAATTATTATTATTATTATTATTATTAATGAGCTTCAGTTCCCTAAATTAATAATAATAATTATTATAATTATTATAATAATAATAATGCATAATAATATTAATGAGGAGCTTCAGAACACCGCCACTGGTTGGCTTAGCGAATGCCAAAACATTCGGTGAGCAGCGCATGTGTTCTTCGCCGTGGAAGC